GGTATATATTTGGTTTAACATTTTTTTTTATATTCATCTTGATTAATTCAATTATTAATGATTAATTCAATTATTAAAATATAATATGAATACAATCAGTTATTATATTTTGTATATATGGTAGCATTTTTAAATTTGTTTGTCTTAAATTTTAGACAATAATAATTTTTTTTTAATAAATTTATTATGCAGTATATTAATTTCGAGTGTATGTCAATCACTATCCAAAATTAAAGTAAATCGTCCCTAAAAATCAGCCTTAATTAAGCAATGCAATTATTTTTTTGTTAAACTACTGTTCTTGGAGTTTGATAAAAAGTTGACGTTCACCATTAAATTTTGATTAATTTTTTTTAAATAAAAAGTTTGGATGGTGATTTAGCTCAACTATTTTTATTGAGTACTAATTTACTTTAATTTAAAAATATTAAAGAGCCATTTGCTTATTTTGCCTTATCAATTTCTATAAAGAGGTGACCGAGTGTTTGTTATTTATTTATTTATTTGTGTATAAATTGGGCGTAATGTTTACATTTCCAAATTCGTGCTTTGCCCAACTGTGGAGGCTGAGAATACCGACCTTTACAATCATTATTGACAGAGCTGCCAAGGTTTTTGCATGATTCCATTTGTAAAGGGAGTAAAAGGGGAGTAAAGGACTTCTTCTGCTTAATCCCGGATTCAAGATCTGATCAGGGAGTATTAAAATCTGCCCTTCATGTTGCAATTACCGCTGGCCAGGAGGACATAGCACGCTTCTTGTCACGCCCCAAAACCCAATTTCGAGACGCGACAGACGCCGTACACTCGTGAGACGGGTCCCACAAATGCACAAGGCTCGGAATTTATCATATCACACTCTGATACCACCAAAAACTGAAGATCAAATCTTTATAAAATTCTCTCTGATATCATAAAATCTCCAAATGCACTCTAGTTTACAAGATCATGATTTATCTCTAGAATCTATAACAAATCTCGAAATGGCTAGCCTTTTAACTCGTCACTTCCCGTGATTTCCCCGTCCTCGGTTTCACTTCCTGAAATGGTGGACAAGGAAAAACTATGAGATAAACTCAGTAAGTAAATATGGAGACTTATAGCATGCCAACAAGTGCAATCACGAAAACAGATACAGTACGGGCACGAAATAGACGTCTCCTCTATAGGTCACGGCCAGTTCCCACTGGCAGGCAAACAGGAATACTAGTGTATAATCCCCACTAGTAGGGCCACGATTTGCTGGTGTATAACCCCCACTAGCTGGGTTGAACGAACTGGCTCTATCACTACATGTCGACATGTGCTAGCGTTTAACTCCCACTAGCAGGATTACAGAAACATGACCACATCGGAGACAAAATAGGCAGAAGTTAACAGGAAAATCACAATTCACAATCACTTTCAAATCATCAGGACAATCACTTAAATTTCAAGTAGGCATGCTCAATTTAGTAAAAAGCATAAAACATTTCACTTCAAATCAGTCATACTTACGTAAAACGGGTTTAGTCCCGCCACCACTTCAAAAACAAATCAAAACATGCTTTTAAAACAGTACGGGCATTACCATAAATTACTTACCTCACTTGCATAAAACCGAGCACTCAATTCATGTACTAACTGACAGAACGATCGGGAACCTAATCAAAACACCTCAGAATTAATACCGGACTATCACACATTCAAGCTGAAATCATTACTAGGATCATTTCTAATCACAATGCTATTTCCATCACTTTCCACATGATCGGACATCTCCAAATTCATTCTTATATCACAAACTAATCATTTAAATCCCCGTTAATTATTGGCCCTCGGGGTGTGAACAGTGTTGGTGAACAGTAACCACGACGTGAACAGTAACTCCCACTTCCAAAAATTGGCCAAACACTAGCTAATTCACGGGATTTTCTCCAAAAATCACACAGCAGTCAATTAACACTCAATCACATAAATCCCACTTCAATTAAGCAACAAAACACACTTAAATCCCTCTTAATTGCTACCGGAATTTCCCCATTTCCTAGCCAAATTCGGACATCACAAGCAGCAACTTTAAATGAATAATTTAAGCCTTAAAAGGGCTGTCAACATACCATAATTCTCCAGCTAAAACCGGAGCTGCAGTTTGGGGAAGGCCGGCGGCATGGAAGGAAGGAAACTCACGGCTTTAACCCAAAATTCAAGAAACCAAGAGCAATTAAGGTAAACCCAAGTTAAATCAAGGCTAAAAGGATGGATTAATGGCTGTTTCTTACCCAAAACCGGAGCAAATCACCCCCACAAAGCAAGAGCAGCCGGCGGTGAAGAAGCAGAGCAAGGCAGATCCGGAAGCTCCTGCAGGGGGAAGAGATTTCTGGGTTCCAAATCAGGTTCTTGGGCAAGAAAAGAAGGATAAAATCAAGCTCTCTCACCGGTTTCTCAAAGGCCGGCTGGGTTTCCCTTTTTTTTTTGTTCGGTTGCAGCGGGAAGAAAGAAAGAAGAGCAGACCCGCGGGGAAGAAGAAAGAAAGAGGGAAAAAGAAAAAGAAAAGAAGCTGATCCTTATCCAAAATCTTTCCCTCTTTAAGTCCCTCAACTTTCAAACTTTTGGCTATTAAACCCAAAACAATATTTTCTCACACAAAAACCCTTACTTAAATGCTAAAATAGCACAAAATTTTGGGGTATTACACTTCTTCTACGAACTGAATGATCTGCAAACATTTTCACGCGAAGACCGCTTCATTCTTCTTTAAGAGTGTATAACTAAGAAAATGTTCCGTAAGAACTCTAATTATCATTTCCTTTCTTTCTCTTTGCTTTATAATTGTTATTTTGTTTTTCTCTAACCAAACTTTTTGAGATCAGAAATTGCATTGGATTTACTTGACCGTTTTCCGGAGTTGGCAATTAGCGAACCCCCTCACCGTTACATGTCATCAATCATTTTAACACTAGCTAAAACACCACCTCCATTCTTCAGAGGAAGTCAACTTAAATTTGTGAAATTGTGGATATATCGTTGTTAGTATTACTTCTCCCTTCGTATTTACATATCTATATATATATATATAAAATGCTACGCTATGCATTAAATAGGGTAGCATTTTCTATATATTTAATATATAATAATATAATAAATAATATATATGATATATATATATAGATGTGATAAGGTTTAATTGTGGATATATCGTTGTTAGTATTACTTCTCCCTTCGTATTTACATATCTATATATATATATATAAAATGCTACGCTATGCATTAAATAGGG